CGGATGAACTTCCAAAATGCATGACAAGATTTCGCGAGCTTTCGGTTCTTCCATCAGAGATCTGATGGCGTATACCCTTGTATTGATACTCTGATGCGGCTCCAGTAGCCATACCATAATTCTCGCTGTATATTTTCTCAAAACCGATCTGATGGACCATGTGTTGCTCCAGTGATTCTTTTTCTCTAATGGACAGCACAGACCATGCAGTAAGGTGGAAAATAATCTTCTCGTTAGTTGCAATTCGTTGACAGATGGCGATGTATTAGACATTATAAAGTCAACGGCGCGTGTTACAATGACACGAAAACGATCATTCAGTTCTCCTTTACTAGATTCGCGTACTATCGGAGACAAATTCGTGGAATGAAAGTTCGCGTAACTAGATGAACGGGACCCGTGATCGCTTTGTTCACTAGATGTTGTAAGAACTGAAAAAATATTTTCAAATATAAATATATAAATGCCTGAGACTTTTGCATGCTACAATTACCTGAAGTAAAGTATGATGCTGAAGCTAAGTAGGAAGCCGTGCTACGTAGACGGAATCCCGAAGGATTTGACATTTTAGATGTGAGTGCATCCAGTTCTCCATCGAATAGTGCGACTTGTGCGTCCCTTATGGCCGCACGAATTAAACTCGCGCGGCATCGTAATTTCTCTGATAATTCCATATAATCGAGTATCATATGTAAATCTAATACCGCTTGCATCTGATGGTTTCCCGGTAATTCTAAAAGCTTAGTCGCGATTGTTACGAGCAGTACATGAATGTCTCGGTGAAGGGACATCGGATTATGCGCAGCCGCGACCAAAGCTTGTGCCAATGATTCAATTAAACCTTGCTCCAGAAGCACTCTCAGTGCATTTGTGTTCTGGAATAACGAAAATTAATTTATATAATTCTACAACGGATCCAATACCACGCATTTCAATCCTCTCATACCTTTGCTATTATGTCAGTGATAAACGATATTATCGGCCTGATGACATTCGAGTCAGAGCCAGCGGCTTTTGCAATCATCGCCATTAATGGTGGCATTGCCGCTAATATCGGACCTCGTAGAGCTAAATTTTCTAAAGCAACAACCAGCGATTCGCTTCCAGGATATAAGGCTATCTGATTTCCTAGATGCATGAAATACTTTTGTTTTATAAACTTATTAACTTCCTCATCGCTAGCTCGTTGTAGATAAGTTTGTATCACCTGTAAGACATCACGAAATGTATTGATGAAATATTTCACTCTTTTTTGACTTTTTCACTTCTTTTTTGAGAAATTTTGCAGTATATATTGTGCTAAGAAATTGTTTACCTTAATCAATGCTGTGCGTACACGATTATCAGGATCGTTAGCTAGAACCAATAGTAATTCAGCTCTCAAAACATGTTTTAACACTAATCCAACTTGACAATCTGGTAGGACTCTTACAGCATCTCGTAATAATAATAGCAATCCTTCACAGACTAATCCTTGACAGGCTTTTCTTTCATCCGCATACGTTGATTGTCTATCCTGAATGATATACAATATAGAATTTAAATAGGTAATATATAAAATCATGTCGTATAAAGATTTTACATTTTTCTTTATACATACATTGCTTTGAAGATTGGATCCGTCACTGCCTGCAATTCCAGAATCTTCTCCGGTACTATTATCTGGTGACAATACATTTTTACGGTCCTTCTTTTTAGGACTTCGCGTTTTTTGAATCTACAAAAGTAAATGATTAAATATAATATCTGTTCAATTTTCGGGATCAAAGAAATCTCACACTGTAAAAAGTTTTCACCTGTTCGTTTGTCAATCCCTTATTTAGCTTGCTGTTCTCCACTAGAGAGTCATCAGAAATGACGATATTACTCCTTTTCGAACTTGTATTGTTCTCCTTAAGTTGTGGCAACATAAAATAAATATTATGTCGCGAATGAGTGACATAAGTCTCCGAGGCTTGATGAACGAGAACCAAGTAATCAGTAATGGCGACTAAGTGAGCAAACTCGGGCGGTGCACCCATTAAGGCACGCATTAATTCCACAATAGCGATTCCGGTATTTGAATCCAATACGGTACTTTCCTCCTCGTGCATTTCGTACATAAAATGTTCCTTTGAAAGATAAAAGTTACGAAGAAATTCTTAAATCGCTTATCCATTTATAAAATATGTATCAACTTATTTTATTTACCTTACACAATGTAAGAATTGTATCCACAATTCCGACCCTATTTAGTTGCGATGCATTGAATTCGCGATGTGAATGTTGATCTCGCAGTAAAAGTAATAATGCTTGCAACAGTAAGTTTAATGTATCATATTTCACCCATGCTCTCCACGTAGCAAGTGCACCCTTAATCAGTTCCGGTTCTGTGATAACAGCCTCGCAATTTTGAGAGATTGAGTGGTTACCGCTGCCGATATCTTTGATGATGATCGAATTGTCACATGCGGCATCCAATATCGCCTTCAAAATGTGTCTACCCGCGTGACATCTAGATGATTTTAGAACATGAAGAATTAATGACGTCCCACCGTCTGATCGATATTGATTCAAAAGTTCTGAATCACTGCGAACAAGATGCAAAACTATGGACAGAGCCAGAGCTTGTTCTTCTTCGGTAGAATTTAATTCTACGACCTATACAAAAATTCATGAATATTTAAAGAGATCATAAGCAAATACTTTCATCGCTACTTTCTTAATTAATAAATTTGCATGATTATGGAGTATCATAAAAATACTTACCCGTGCAAAAAGATATAAAAATATCGGTACACCACCCACTAAGATCGCTGCAGGTACAAGGCCTCGATATTGCTGGGTCTCTAAACGAGTGGACATAATTGAAGGTATCGAAAGAGGCGGTTGCTGCGATATTCTGTGCTCTGGAATCGAAACAACTCTAAAACCTGGTTGGCTCGGAAAAATGCTTCTCACAACGACTAGAAAAATAATACAACACACAATAATAATACAATAATAAAATAAATAATCCATATGATATTAATCAAAATGTACAGTCAATATTGATAGAAACGCGTCACTTACCAGCAGGATTAGCAATAGGTTGGGGATACAAGTGTACAACATTGGGATTTTGAGCCTCGTAACTGAGAAGTAAATTATCTTGCAGCTCGCTAAGTTGCGAATTTGTTGCGTCCATAACAGCATCCCAATCGATTTTCGATTCTGATATTACTGTCTCAACGGCATGCCTCAAGTAAGTGCCACCATAAGATTTCCGCCGACTTAAATCAAATTTACCTCCTTCTACAATACACAAAAGTCGTATTAGTCATAGATTTTGTATAAATATTATACTATTTAATATACTATTATATATCTAATAATTTAATCTGCTAACCGTATTTCACTTCACGAATACCATCCAATGCACCAGATGCGATGAGAGGTGCAAAGTCAGGTTTCACTGTATTTAAAATACAATCTGCCAAATTGGTATAATTTGGTCCGAGACCTGCCAAATACAATGCACGCTCTTTTGTAAATACTGGACACCTGTGAGCAACAATCAAATTAGATATACAGATAATTCTGTTACGATTTCGTTGTTGAATAACAAAATAATATACCTAAAAATCATTAAATTTCCGAAGTACCATGCGCCAATACTGTTTGATCCAATTTGACCTAATAAAATACACGTAGTACCAGGCTTTCTCACTAGTAAACCGTCAAATGGTAATTGAGCATTGACTTCTCTCCAACCATCCATCCAAAGCGTAACTTCGACTACTGCACTACGTTTATTCAAGACAGTATCTTTAATGTTTAAAGTCAAGTGATGCCAGCATCCTGAAGGAAGCATGCCGTTTATGGAAGTTTCAGAGACCGTTCGGTTCATTTTATCATCCGGACGAGTAAGTCGTAAAATTAATTTATCTAGAAACAAAATCAATGTTAATACAAATATTCATTTATAATTAAATTTTGAAAGCGAATATTACCTGATTTAAGATCAAGCCAGGTTTCCAAAACCAACGACTCGAACCCGATAGACATCAAATGTACTATTGAGGTTGGTGTAGGTAGGGATCCAGAACCTGCTATAACTAATAGGCCAAAAAAAATCAGACGTCGATATTTATTTGATAATTATTTCCTCTTTTTACATACCTTCCTGATTCCAGTTGTCAGAAAGAATACCCCAGTCTGACAGACTCTCACTGTCCGAATCGAGTAACGGCGAAGTATTGTGAACTGTTGCGCGACCACCGATTGGTAATCCTCTTTCTATCCTTAACCACATGGAAGCTGAGCAACCGTGCAACCACACTGACCAAGCAAGTTCAGGTCCGACCGGTAAGCACGTTGCATGTACGGACCATGGACTGCAAATCCCTGCAGCGAGATGCTTTTTTCTGAAATTGTTTACGAGATTTTCAGCCTTTTCTAAATTTTTAAATTCTTCCCTTTGATTCTTCAGTGATGATTTCGTGTCATAGTGAACGGGGAACGATAGAATGAAATACGGTTGAGGTCGCGCGGTTAATACCAAGTGATACAAAGGTTCCAGTAATGGCAATAGCGGCGATTTTTTCACTTTAAAATACGATAGATATGCAACTAGTTCCGCCGGTAAAATTGATTGAGTTGCTAATAATGTAAAAACTTCCAATGCCGCATGCTGTAACTCTGCAAAAATTCACTATATAGTGTACTAATATTTGAATATACATACTGTGAATATGTATATTCTGCTATACAAATATAAGCCTACCTCGATATCGCGGATCGTTATCTGTAAATATATTCTTAAAGCCATTTAATATCTTCATAATAGTTCCCGAGGCCGCGAGAGAAGCACAACTTGATGCGCTTTCTCGGCAGGTAACAGCGATTCTTCGCAATCCACTAGTTATTATTGATCCTTTCTCTAAATCTAAACCCCTGTAGGACGTAAAATAAAATAATATAATGCGTTAATTTACACATTCCCAAGAATATTTGAAACTCACTGTTCACTGAAATGAATTAAAAGATCTATTGCCAAGGAACATAAAGCAGGATGTGCATTGGCATGACTTCTCGGTTCTATCACAGGTCCAAGAGGACTACTGCTATTCTTGGAGACGCTGCTATTAGGACTTCCTCCAGGCACTTCGGTATCTGCGTCATATCCATCATCGGCAGTTACATATTCACCAGTACTGCTATCTTCCGCACCGTAATCCGGAAGAGTCTCCAACGACATAGTTGGTAACTATAGTAATACAATAATTGCATAATTATCCTCTAATTCCTCTATTTTCAATAACTAAAAAAATTTTTCAGCATACTCTAGGACGTGGTTGTTGCTGTATGCTATTTTCCAGCGCTGGCTTCAGCATAGAGACCTTTAATACCGCATCCACTATCACAGATATTCCACGACCAAGCGTTATCCCGGTATTCATCAGTATTTTTCGTAATTCCATTACTATGTCACAATTATCTGCACCATGAAAGTCATCATTATACATATATCGATAAGAGCAACAGAATAAAATTTCAATGAAGCGGATAAGCAATGCAATTCGTGTAATCAGATAACGTCACGATCGCCCAAGATTTCAAGAATGTTTGCCATCTGCCTATGTTTCTTGAACTGTTTTTCTGACGAGTAAACGCGCGAAACATCTTCGGATTATAATGTCGCAGCTGTGCGCAAGCGGTAGATATATATGTTTTATGTATACATACATACGTAATCGAGACGTGTATATGTAACGCGTTTTATTAATCGCATTCGTAACATGAATACACTTACACAACGGAGATATCAGACAACACGTAATCAGGGCCTCGAAGAGTTTATGCGCCGATTTATCTGAAAAAAGAAGTACAATACGTTCATTAATACATGATTTTTCAAGTATTATCATTCTACATGTGACAACTACCTTCAACACTATCTGTAGCGATGCTCACGGTTAATAATTTGAACAAATGCAATAATTTTCTGGATACTGGATGTATCGATAATTCAGTACGGAATTTCGGGCTGCACAATGCTACGCCTGCAGCAGCTCTCCATGCTGCACTGGTTTGATACAGGCTAATTTTATCGTACCACACGTCTGCGTCGTCGTATTGAAGAGACTGAAGCTTCTCAAGAGAATTCGAAATTGCTATATCTATCATATCAGTCCTATTCTCTAATTGTTCACGATTAATATCATGTTCAGGCAGTTGCGACAGAGTTGTATCCTTGAGATTTTCAATTGCCGTCTCTGTTTTTAAATCTTCAAGAGATAATTCAATTCCCTGATTGTCGGAATGCACATCAAGCACATCCTTTTCGCCTTGTTGGCTCGCCTCCTCTCCTACGCTCAGTTCTTTGGAACATTGCAAGCTGAGGTACAACTCGTTCGTTTCTCTGTCAAGAGTTTCAAAGAGGAAATTCATCGCCGGCGTACTTTCTGTATCGTCCTCGGAAATCCTCCGGATCTCTACAGTTACGGTGACTTCCAGAAGAGCATAAACGCTCCTAATGAATGCTGTATCCATTATTAAAGGCAGTATCTCGCGTAATCCGTTTATCTCCATGAATTTCTCGCACATCTTCAAATTTACAATTAAACAGGATATAATGGATATGCAGGATTGCAAGAGGAACTTCGCCGTTATATTGCCTTTGTCAGTCATGTAACATGCTTTGGCGCGGAGAAAAGTCGGATAGAAGACTCTAAGAAGGAGTTGTTCTCTGACCTGAAATCGAGAACCGGGTGTGACTTTCATTAGATGCGCCATAATGACGTAACAGAGCTTGGGATCATCAGGGCACAGCAGATCGATGTACAACTCCAGAAAGTCCCACGAGTAATTCACTGGTCTATCGCAAGTGTTACATGCGTCCGTAACTGGACAAGCACCCAGCTCTCTGAAGAGAGTACGCTCCAAGAACGCCACGGCTGACGCATACGTCGAGGAGTCGCGCTTTTTAAGACAGGCGACAACACTCGAGACGAGTGTCTTCGGAGGAAAACAGCAACACGTACCCGCGGCGGTAATTATCCCGATCAGCCTCACTTGCAGCTCGCTCGCGAACAGATGAGACTCCTTTAATAGACTCGTAAGCGTCGCAAATAACGAGGAAATGCAGCACACTTGTTTGTCGGCTACGCCGACAATCGACTGGGAGTACGGCGCTCCGAGCACATCCGAGTGATGATGACTCTGAACATGATCGATGCAAGATTTATGCTTGGTCCTATGGCACTGCGTGGCATGCGAGAGATCACGACGAATGCGCTTCAATCCACTGGTCAGCGCGCCGATCATGTCGATTATCTTCTTGGCGCGCACTATCGACTTCACCGGATCAATACTGGGCAGATCGACGATCGCAAATACCGTTCTTTCGACGAGTCTGCCATCCTGGCTCTCGACGAAAAGCCGAAACAGCTCAAGAAAATCCGACAGTTTGTCAACATTGCTGCTACGTTGATGCAACAGGCAATAAAGGAACGTAACGATCCCGTAGATGGTAGCGAAGATAAATTCTTGCAATAGCGAACCTTCCTCCGGCTCTAATATGTTCACTGGCTTGCTGCAGGCATTCTCCAACAATCTCAGAGTCATTGGAAGCAAACCATTGTGAATTACCGCTGTGGTAGGTTCATCGGCCCTTAAAGCACGTTCCAGAGCTGTCAACATCAATCTAGCAGCTGCCGCCTTTAGAGTCGCACTTTCTGTACCATTAAGACTATTACCGTCTATGCCGAATTGTAAGGACCACAGTGTATCCAGAGCAAATTTCAGAACCTGCACGGCCGGCGTTTGCTCAGCAGGTGTGTCATAATCACGCAAGCCTTGCAGCAACTGTATGATCAGCAAGCTGATCTCGAAATTGCTAATCTTGGCGTCCAGCACATCCTGAATTCTCTCATCGATGTAATCACGCGGTGTTTTTCTCACAGGACGCGATGGCAGCTCATACAATTCAGCCTGCCACTTGTGCTCCTCATCGCTTCTAACAACCGAGGTGAAGTACTCGAAATCCATCGGATTCAAGCGAATCTTCAGCGTGAGAGAACGCGCCGGATCGATGCCGTCCGTCGATAGTTCAAACTCGCTGCTCGTCTCGTCCTTCGGCGTACTGCGTCGCGTTTTCAGAATCGACGACGGTTTCTTCGGCTTGTGAGTAGCGAATTGATGGATCTTTGTAGCGCCGATGACATGTCGACGAACAAATCTCCTGCGCGAAGGTGTATCGCTGTCATGGGAGAAACCCTTGCGGCCGGAAGTCTTAACGCTCTTGCGTTTCGCGTGCAGCACGATGTTCACTGTATCGACGGTATCATCGTTACAGTGAAATCTCACATATTGATTGCGTGCCGGTGACTCGACGACGGCTGACTCGCTGTCGGACTTTTGCGGTACAGCGGTCGGATTAGCTCTCGAGTCGGCTCCTTCTTGAAACGCAACTTGATAGAGAGCGACCAACAGCGCAACCAATTCGCGACCACAAGACAGACCGCGTACGCCTAATATGTGCAGCACTGCTAGGTAACGCCAGCCACGATCCTGAACCAGGTATTTTCGCAGACCGATCAGCTCGCCACCGTCATTTCTATTTCCGCACAATTCGTGCACATCCGAAAGTAATTCGCAGGCCACGAGGGTCGATACGCCGCCAACGCCAACCGAACTGAAATAAATACATCGATAAATATATCGATTGATATCTGTATTTTTTTACTCTCTTCAGTGATCATGTTATCAGATGTGAGTTACCAGCGAGAAATGACAATCATGTATATATTTGTTATTTCTAGTAGCTCATGTGATACCGCTACTTTTTATGCTGAACAAAGAAAGGAAAATTTGTCTTATCAGCGAGTAATTCATTGCAGAATACTAAGGAGAACAATGGCTTTTTATATTATGTTGTTATCAATGGTTTTTATTTTATTATATACGTGTAATCAACACGCTATTGAATTGAATCAAATATTTAAAACGTTTAAATAAATAAGTACAATTGATGTTCATTTTTAATAATGTAAATTAGCCTTAATCCTGGTTTAACTTTTTATCCTCTTTTTTATTTTTAAGAATTAAGAAAAGATAAAGAGTAAATTAACCGAAGTTAAAGTTAGTTAGTAGAAATGAATATAACAGGTGCAATTCATAGCAAAAGAGTAAGATAAATTATCTTTCAGATCTTAGATCAATCAAATTACCATCCAGCTACCATAAAAATTCTTCACCGCAACCGCAAAAGCGCGATCGAATTCTCATATTGCGGTTGAGACGAAGAGCTGTAAAAACAAACATCGAACACGCATACCGAAAAGTATCGCGTAAGTTTTCTGAGAAATATTACGCAGAATTTGTATATATAAAATGATATGTATATATAAAATGTATATATAAGTTGTATATATAAAATGATAATGAATAGATTAATATAATGAATTCTCACCAACAAGACAGAACATCTTTTACGTCTTTGCCTTCTTTAATCTGCGCCAGTAATTCCGCCAGAAATATATCTAGCCAGGATGATTTCTGAAACAATCAATGTGTACGTGATATCAACATTGATCAGAGTACTCGTGAACAAAATTTGTGAGAAAGTGAGAAAATCGAAGTGAGAAAATATTTTCTAATAAAAAGAAAGAAAGAAAGAATGTACGCATGAGGATTTTGTGAGAACAAATAATTAATAACATCGCTAATTACTCTTAATTCGTAAACGTGAGTTTGGTAATACAGAAGATATCACGATTCGTAGAAGAAAGAAGAAAAAACAAGTGAACTATCGCATCGAAGAAAAAAACGAGCGGATAAGCAACTGTGCTCGAGAGATAAGAAAAAACAGAAACATCTCAGTTCATCATTTGCCAAAGTTGACAAAGATAATTTGTTCGTCGCACTTCGTGCGATACAGTAATCAACATTAACGGACGCAAAATGAAAAACATAACGATGAAGCATTGCAAAATGACATACTTGCGGCACGCTGCTTGTGAGATACTCGCTGATGCAATTTAGTAAAAGGCTTTAGATATGAAACTGGAGCACTCCGAATTTTCAATAGTCTTCGTCGAACGGAAATAGGGACTGTGTCTAGCGTGTCTTTCCATGTGTATGACGAAGTCTGTTTATTGTAATCGTGCAGTCGGTCACGTATGATTCACGATGGAATAATAATGCAGTGAAAATGTGCGATTCGGAGAAAATTGCGTAATTAAAATCTCATAGTTGCGCACGAATCAGTTTAAAAATAGATATGCCACATTTTCTTAACATATAATGTTTAATATAATTTTATCTATTTTTATCACTGACATTAAATAAGCTTCTTAACTCGATTATTAGATATTGTAATTAGACGAAAGATGTGTTATAATGCTTTCCGAAATATCGACAAGCAAAACAGGTAACTTGTAGGGCATCTGTCTCTCTTGTAAACCACTACAACGTGGTGCCTTCGATCGCGGAAACAATCCAATTATGATATAATGAGCTTCAAAGTGTAATTAGAGTTGAACTTGATAATTTATTTCCGCGCCACGCGTTATGTGCAATAAAAAAAAGTTGCTTTTTAAGAAATTTATTATTTTTAAGAAATTTATTATGAAACTATTCAGAATGAATTCCGATCGGAATTGTTCAATAATTTCCTAGATTTCTGTTGTTTTCTAGGAAAAAAAAAACGAAATAACTCCGATCGGAAATAATTCCAAGCAGTTTTTATAATCCTCGGAATGTTATCAAACGAGTTTGGTTACAAAATTCATAAAAACGAACAAAAGAGAGAAAGAAGCAAACCAATGAAGCGGACTGAAGAAAGCATTTCCGGGAGCCTCGTGCTAATACCTCGTAACTTTGGGGTTCGGCGTGGATAAAGTGGTCCCATAGAACTTGCAATTTATTGATCGACACCGTAGACATTCCGGAACTCCGATCTTCACTCTCTTTCTCGTCCTCCTCCTCTGGCTCCTCGGTCTTCAAGCGCGCATCTTCCTCGTAACTCGCTACCTCATCCAAACTCAACCACGCGCTCAGATCCTCGTGCTGCTTTTGACGTGCATCCTTCCAAGTAATTTGATCACCTGAAAGACCGGGATTCCTCACGTTGCGCCGAGTAAGCTGACACGTATTGAAATGCATAATCAATATATCTCGTCTCATATGTCACTTGAAAGTCGGAAACTGAGCCCATATACTTCGTACTCTGACAATTAGAGAATTTAATATATGAGATTACATGACATATAAATAAGATACATTTTCAACGCTGTAAGTTCAACGCTTTGCGAAAATACGATGTATTTGAAAAACGAAGAAAAGAACTCTGAGGTTTTACTCGACTCTATTTAATCGTGTTCTGTAATCAAAGCGTCGCGACTTTGCAACATTGCGGCGCATTGCAAATCCGATCCCGACGCGGGAGTGTCGAATCGTATTTATCAAACGACTATGGCTTACATAACATCCCCACGTATTCGCGATTGACTACCAGTTTTGCAGCCTTCCGCGGGGAAGCTCGGCAGAGCCTCACGGAATCTTCACGAAACACGAAATAACGGAGAGCAGTAACCCAGGATTTATATAGACTCTTCAATAACAATCACTGCCGTCGCTATTGCCTCTGTCGCCTCTGCCAACACTATCAATAAACCATCACCATTATCGTTCTACAGAAACACAAATCGTACGAGGAATTGCCGCCACAACCACAGGACCTGACCCTACCACTACTGGCAGTTCTTATCTGCCGACTTGCTCTCGTGCTGCTTATGACGAGAATATCTCGTTATCGTTTCTCGGAGCATGTGACAATTCGCTCGTAAATCTCACGATCGGTCCGAGAATGTGAAGCCGCTCCTTTCAATTTTTCTTCTCGATTTTCACAGATTCACACTGAAAAACACGACAGCTGTCGCTTCGATCATAGACAGAATTCGATTTATCAAAGTTAGAAAATGAAAATCCGAGTTACTGTTTTAAAACGATAATCAGCTTTCCTCTAATTATTGTTTGTTCTCTATTTGAATTTAGAAATTGAGAAACACAGATCTCGAATGCATCGTTAAAATATGATTGCTATTTAATAATTATTTAAGAATACTAAATAACAGCAAGTTCGCGATAGAAAGCTCGCCAACTTTTTTTCAATGAATTGATATTGCGATTCGGAGAAACGTGCACGCGGAACTCATTTACAATATTTATAGTTTGACAGTGTTATATCAAATAACATTTATAATGAATACATATATCTTATAGTACAATACAAATACAAAAGAAAAAAAGATAAATAAATTCACAAAAAATTCAAATTGCCTGCTGTCTATCCAAAATATTTCTATAAAATCTTATATTACACAAAATTAATTAAATTCACAATTCTAATCACAAAATAATATAAGATTGGCGGTACCAAAAAAATAAACCAAATGATTTGAAGTTTCCTTCTTAATTTATAATCCTATCTATTACATGCAAAAATGTCTCAAAATAAATAATGTTGACGCTTTGGCAAGGCAAAATAAATATTTTTTCCTCAAAGAAAATATTGAAAGAGATTCATAGTATTTATTGTATATAATCTTCAAAGAGAATTTAGTTTTTAAAAATCATTTCAATTTTAACTTTTAATCAATTATTATCTATCAAAGAGAAAATTTCTTATAGCTTATTTATTCAGAGACATTTGGTAAAGTTTATATCACTGCTTAGAAATACAACAATCAGATTTACTTAATCAAAATTAGTATTAAACTCGGTGTGCAAGTCGAACACGATGTCTATCCGAGCACGTCGGCGAACGGGAATGTACTCCTCTTACTCGGATCTCCGATTCGAGTCTTTAGCTCGGGGTGAACGTCGGATATTAACTGTCCACAATGAAGAAGGGGGAAATCCACGGTCGAGCCTCCGGCGCCTCCAATCGGTTTTCTTCCGCGACGAAAAGTCGTGAATCACGTAACATTAGCCCCTCGCTTGCCTATCAAGAAAGCGAAAAAGAATCAGCGAACTATGTAAACGAGTCGCATGAGACGCGTATGATGCAGACGATAACAGGCTGGATCTTCAGAAAGAAGTAGTGATAACCATATACAATGTATGCTGTGACAGCAAATCCCGATAATTATATTATAATTAGTACAACTGAGCAATCGATATCGGAATCCATCCATGTGATTAAACAAAATTCCCTACCTCGATAATCGTTAAAGGGATTATCAGAAGAATCCAGAGAAATAATTATATTTTTTGTAAAAGAAAGGGAGTTGATCAATAATATTAATTTTATTATCGATTTATTAAAGAGGAAAGATGTAGCTTTGACTTTGAGCAACTACGTCGCAAGTCTGTTAAAAATAACATGTAGCCGACGACATAAATAATTATCTAGAATTTATATAAAAAAATTCAAGAATTAATAAATTGTTAGACATTTAAAATCTTGCCTTGCCGAGTATTGTCGATTTCCGATGTTGTTGCTAAATTCTTATGTTTATTCGTGTAATTATTATTAATCATTTATTGAAAACAGAAATTAATTCTTAATTTTTTCACATTAATTCTTAATTTTATCTAAATTCAACTTTGTCACAAGCAGCATTATAATGTAATTTTCTCTTCTCAGTCGTTTCGCGACATTATGAAAAAAAACAAGCTGGTAATTTCGAATATTAATTATGTAATTTAATTTTCGGTTATCCGAAATGGATAATAATTCCATGAATACGTTCCTGACGTTATCGCGGTATAATGTTTTTCCATGGATACAGATAACGATGTCAGCGTCGTTCAAACAATGCAAAATACTGCAGTACGGACGCACTCTCCCACCCATAACGTTAAACAATTCCCGTAAAGCCATAACGCGATAACCGCACATGTGAACGGTTGAGAACGGTTTAGTGGACAACAGCCGCGTAACATAATTGTCGATCAATCGTCAATTAAGTCGCAGTCGGTTGCTTGTATATTATGGTGCTCGATTATCTTAATAAAGTTCTATACTCCGTCGTGCTTTAATTAGCCCCTCCTCGACAGTGTGATAATAGCGTGTTAAAGGCATGAACAATTTTCCAATGTCTATCTCTAAGTGAAATAAAATGATTTAGCGAAACGCTCTTTTCGAAGAAAGTTATTACCTCGCGATGCTAAAAATGTAGAAATGGCAAAATGTATATGTAATATATATAACTTTTACAATCCTGCGTAATTAAACAGTACAATTTTTGTGAATTTGATCTTCGATAAATGTGAAAAAAAATGTCATGCCAAATGAACGTTCGTCTCTCCATTGTATTTGCAGCATCAAATTCGGATTAATTCAATCGGATTGCACCCGACAATTTTGCAAGTAAGTGATGAGCCTTACTTTTTTCTCTCGCATTCTATAATTACTTTATCGCCTTGCGGACCTTTCGTGATTAGCGCGCGACGTCGATAAACAGCGAATCGCCGACGGCGATAACGATAACAGTTGACCTTCGTTACTCTCGTCATAAAGGCGGTAATTAAAAGCGCTCACACTTTCTTTACTTTTTTTATGTTCGCTGTCTCCAGTCAACTTGGGTCACGTTCCCGCCATTTGTTATTGACGCTTATAACTTCAATCCTCGTCTAGACTTCTTTTAGAGATTCATTTACTTTAATCGTATTCCTTTCACTCCTGCTTCATTCCTAACTCTCAGAACCTAAACGTACATCGATCTTAGCTTAAATAAAAAACTAACATAAGTGCACCTTAAGTTTGTTTATATTTTACATGATCTATTGCATTCTTCTGTCCGTTCATTTTCAAAGTGTTAACACAGGCTCATCTTAATGAAATACAAGAAAGCATCTTATTTTAAACAGCGAACGAAGAGAGAAAGCTGAAGAAAACGAGTTGCGATTCCTATTCAATTCTCCTTATGAAAGCTATTCGATTCAGCTGCGACCTCGTGTAAACTTTATTTCTGGTTTCTTTCACGCTCCAAAGGGCAAAGTATTACATTCGGAAATATACAAGAGGTGTGACAGAGGCACAGTTGGTAAATATACATATACAATTCATCAAGGCTAATATTTTACTCGCCATATGAAAAAATTTTCGAATGTGTCGATTAGTTAAAAAATAAAATTTTAGAGACTTCCCTATCGACAAATCATCAATGACATTCGAAGAATACGTCGTATGACAAATGAAATATAAGTCTAAGTTTGTTTTCTCAACCATGTTTTCAGAGCTTCTTGCGACTTGCTCTTTTCTTGCCTCGGATATATACATATTTTCTGTACGAGAGATGCGATGACAAACAAATGAGGGATCCAAATTGATTTTGCTGATTGGAAGCAGGACGATGCTAGGAATCGATCACGGGGAGTCCTGTTCCGCCGTCGGGACGGCGGCAATCACGCCGACATACCTTCTCGAATGCGAGACGCTACAAGCCACCGCGACCGCGCGTTGAGCTCGGCCCGTCGTAGTTGTCAGTCGCACGCCGGAACGACAACACACCGACTCCATCGCTGTTGATCGCGGCGACTCGGGAACGCAGCGCCACCGCGCGCTTTCGCGATTCTCGCGCGAGATATTCGAATGGGAATCGTGAGAAGAGAGAGATGATGAACGTCGCGGCGGCGAACGGAATAGATCTGTATTCGAGAAAACGAGTCGAATCGCGCACGGTACAGAGTACCGGTATTCATAGATGGAATCGGAGCCCGCGCGTCGAGGATGCGATCCCGAATATCCATGGATATCCGCTCCTGTCTGCGAACGGAGTACCCTCGAGATTGGAGGCGCCGGCGACGGCGGCGACGGTAGCGGCGGACTTTCAGACGCGAGTGCCATCGTCCGCGTTTCCCGCGCGACCGCTTCGAGAGCCGCGCGCCGCGACGGCCACCAGAACGCGTCGCCCCGTGTCGTCGTCGTCGTCGTCGTCGTCGTCACCAACCGGTGTCGCCGGCTTAGCTCAGAAACGTTCATCGACGCGGCGTACGGGCGTCGGCCTAACCTCGCCCCGCGCCGACGCTTCTCGCATATGTCAGTGTGACGACGAGCTGCCAGATCACCGACAACGAAGTATGACCGTCTGGGAGAGGCTGCGTAATCCGTGCGGCTGGCGCGCGGGCGCTAAGCAGATCTCAGTCGATGCGATGCTACCGTTGCTCGTGGTGCCGATCCTGGCGGTGATCGCCGCCCAGACCGTCCTCTGTACGGTCGTCGTATTCCTGGTCACGCCGGTCCTCGTATACTACCTACACCACAACTTTCTCAGGTTTCTGCTGCGTACCAAGTTTTTCCTCATGTGGACGATCACCAGTGTGCTGATGATGATGCTGGTGTTCGAGATGAGCGTCGTGCCGCTATTGGAGATCCTGCCTGAGGAGAATTTCTTGTTTATGATGTGCGTAGTCGGCGGCATGTGCTGTGGCTACAGAGCCAAGGTGAATGCGGATGATGCGGTACAGGATAGCATCATCGGCTTGCAGAGTCTGGAACTGGGTGAGGGCAGCGGTGAGCTCTGCGCTACCTGCAGGAGAAGAGCACCACCCAGGGCTCATCACTGCCGCTTGTGTCAGACTTGTATTCTTAACAGGGAATATCATTGTAAATGGTACTTTGAATGCTGTTTTTTTATTATATCTGAATTAAATCAATTATATTGTTGAGTCTTTAACATGTACTATTTTGGATTTTTCTTTTAGGCTGGATTGTTGCATAGGTTCTAGCAATCTAAGATGGTATTTGGGTTGCTTATTCTTTTCCGCAATCGCTTTTATCTATGGTTCCAACTTGACTATGACTAGCGTTTGCCATCCTTTCATACTCATCGGAACTGTACTCTTACCAGATAACTGTAGCGATGTGTATCATCAACTGGAGTACGTATTTATATACACACTGAAAATTATTGAAACATGCTGAACATGCGGCTCTTGAAATTATTCCATAACGAGATGAAAAATCGGTATATCACATGCATAAGCAGGAAGTGCAAAGGGTGTCACTGATACCAAGACTTTATAAAATAAACTGGAAAGATACAGGGAATCTATAAAGTTTAATAATCGCAAGATAATGATAATTGTCAGGTCTACGAGATGCAGAGGATGTCATAAATAATATTGTAATATCTGTCTTATTTGCTTTTCTATATATATAAAAGTTCAAGATAACATGTCGCTCAACTTCTGAATGCACAAATTGATCGATGTATGCTATAATAATGTGTATATTGTTTCAGCCTCGCTCTCTGCTTCGTCTCTGCTTTGTACAGTCTTCTCGTGGGTCTAGTGCTCTTTTGTTATCTCGTATACCACCTATGGTTGCTCTCCCTCGGCACGACGTCAAACGAGCGACGATTAGATACCAGAAGTCAATACGATCATGGAATATTAAAAAATGTGTCTCGACTGTTCTGCTGCAAAACCTAAAGATATTATTTGTAAACTAGGTTACTGAATTTACTTCACACGGTGTATGTATGTACATGCTGTACAAAGGATATAACGAAATCAAATTTGGACAAACTAGAAAATGGTAAGGCCAAAATAATTGTCGTAATGCTAAGTCATGCGTCGATAATAATAGCAACTCCACGCGAAATAATTCATACAATCATTAATATCAGATCGTGCATTATCTTTATCTACTTAATGTATCCTAATATAAGGTAAACGTTCCAAAAGTTGAATATGACTTAGTATACAATGAACAGTGTAATAAATATTTATAATTATTAAACTTTCTATATTGACTATTATTTAATTTTCTATATTCTAAATTATAAAATATATTAATATTTAAAATTTGCATTTTTTAATATTTATTGAAAAAAAACAAAGATTAGAAGAAAAAAAGATTTATAAGGAGAAAAAATTATTTTTATAATAGCTGTCTACTTATATTTATTCTCTCAACGGTTTCTTAATAATCTAGTTAAGACATGCCATTTACTTAAGAGTATATTTTCTATATAAATTGTGCTTTTATAAAAAATAAAAGTTATTTTGATTCATAAAAGCATCTATTGAAGTAAACTTTTTATTTTATTAAATAAATTTATTTAAATATAATAAATTTAGTGTTTATTTACTGGCATTCAAAAATTCAATTTTGCTCAATTATTGATCACTTGTTTATTTATCGGTACATCTTCACTACCATTTATCAGTATCAATAGAATAGGTACCAGTAGGATTAAAGAGGAAAGAACTTAAAGTTTTTTGTTTTGATTGTAATATTTTTATATTTTAAATAATTTGGTATAATAATAAACTTTACGATTAATAAACATTTATGTCCTAATAATGAATGAAATAACACAACTTCATATTATTTCATGTGTCAAAATTGTATGTTAGCATTCGTTTCATTTTTCGTTTCTTATTATAATTAGATAAATTAGAAAAATAATGCCGAAAAAAAAAGAAAGAGGATCATTTCTATAGTTATAATTTTATAATATTCAAACACTGGGACAGCTTTGTTCAACCAGGACAAATGCGTTTTTACTGTGTAAACACTGGGACTTTTACATTGGTTAACATTTTATTATATTTTTGCATGATAAATTAATAAGAATAATTGTATAAATTTTTTTTAACAGTAAAAATATTTATAAAATAAATTAAAATTTTTAAGAAAATTTTTTGTTTTTATCTAATGAAAATATTAATATATAAATAAATTTGTAGCTTTAATCGTTTCATCATTTACTGGGACATTTACCTTATATGATTCGTAACTTATAAAAAAATGTAATAGATGCATTACACGCGCGTAATGTTATATTTATGAAATCGTCTTCGACAGCGACATATCATGAGGCATCGAGATCTATTACATTCATCATCTTTGATGTATCATGCATACCATTTGTACATTTATTATAACTGTGATAAAATCGCCACGAGTAATATAGTAAATTATATTAATAAACTATACATGAAAACGAATAAACGTACACAGACATATACATACACATATACTCTAAAGTAAGTAAAAAAGTATTTAAATACGTGTAAATGTAATGTAATAGTAATTTACATATAATTCTGCGTAAAAAGATGTTACTCTATCTTACATGTATTTAAGAATAAGATTACTCTTTACCTCATTCAGATGCGAGGCCAACACGATTGTCGTACAATATTAAAATTACGTTATTTCTAAATTCGTTACGCTAGTCTTCTAATATTACACCTCTTTGCCTGGGGTCAAAGTCTGGAATTATTTCTTGCACGATCTCCCGCCATTTATTTCTTACTCGCTTGCTCTCCATGATAATCGGTACCATTTCTGGATATTTTTTCCACATATTGAAATACTTAATTTTCAACTTTTCTTCATAGTGTGCTAAAGCTAAACGTTCATTCTTCAATCGTTCTGTTTTATATTCCATAGCTCTTATCAGCCACAATTTAAACCATTTGGTCTGTAATTTCATGTCGTAGAAATCTCTAGCCACTTGATCTTTCCTTTTCTCCTCCATCGCCGCATCCCTCCATTTTTGTAACGCGTACCGCAATAAATTTCTGTTGTACAACGATGTAGCTAATTCAGATTTAATTTTATTCTGACGTTCAGTTTCCATCATCCATTTCACGAACACTTTTTGCAGTAAGCATCGCTCGTAATGGTCCTGGGCTTTCTTCATATCATTTTTCCTTTCTTCAACGAGCGCGATGAAAGGTTCCATTATATAACGTCGCAACAAATATTTGCGATAAAATGCTTCCGCCATAGCATTTAGCTCCTTACATCTTTCTACTTCTCGCGCTCGTTGCTGCTCCCGTTCCTCGCGCATTCTTTTCGCTTCGCGCAAGGTCTGAGGACGAAAGAAATCTTAGATTAAACGAGGGTATATTTCTAAATGTAGCGTGTAAGTATCAGGTAGGTACCTTATGAGGTACTTTATTATGTTATAGAGTAAAGTACAAAATAAGCGAGATATTGTATCAATATGTAAACTAGAGTATTACAGTGTTTAACATTTGCTGGAAACGTCCCTCGCAAGAGATAATTTTGTTAGCAAGGTGAAAGCTGTAAGAAACTTAAGAGTATACCGTACACCCAATACGATATTAATATACTTTGACCTCTCATATTATCTGACCTCTTGTTGCAATCTCTTCCTCTCTTGCTCCTCCGCTCTCCTAGCGGCCTCTTCTTTTCTCCTCTCATCTTCCAGTTTCTTTCGACGCGCTTCTTCGCGTAGTTTTACTCTGTTTCTCCTCGCTTCCGCCCGCGCCTCCATCCTTCCAAGAAATTTAGGAGGACTCGGTACTCGTGGTACTGGCGCCATCAAGGATTTGTCTCTATTAATTAAAGAACGTATAGAGCCAAGATCCCTACTGAATTACGTTCGCATAAAATTCGCATCGATTTAATTTGTACTGTAAGATAAAAGCTTAGACTCCGAACAGCTCCTCTTTAAGGTACTTTCTACTTCGCAAGCCGACGTAAAAAGACACGCAAAGCGAGCAACATAATCAACGGTCTACTTTAATTTCGGTTCGCAAGAACACAAAGTCTTCTGCTTTGCGTCATCGTCGTTCGACGTTATAAAAGAGCTTAAAACACACTTGCATGTTATGCAAATAGATACACTTGTTTAATATAAACGTCATCATATAACGTAAAGATAAATCTGTATATTTTACGTCGAATATAAGGTTGATTCGAGATGTAGGTACATATTTAATCTAATGATTAAAAAAAAACTTGAGATTTTTAGTACCAAGATTAAGGATCGTATTCAAGAATCAAGAATTTATTAATTTCGTTTTCTTTCTGAGATAAAAAACTCACAAATTGAATTAGTTCCTGATGAAATTCTTGATAAAATAAAACATACTCAAAAGGACTACCTGTAGCCTGCTTGTCTCATTAGTTGGATCAAGGTCCTTCTAGTCTGCTGACCGCAATGAGTTAGAATTTCTTTGGCCGCATTCACCGTTTCCTCGCTGGATCTCGTAATTTCCTCCTGCACTTGCTTTAATTTTAGTTCCTCGATGATCTTGCTCTGCTCGGCCAATTTCATTCTTTGCTTACGAATGATCTCTTTCTGGGCGTTCAATCGACATTGTGCTGGCGACTCGGCGCTGATGAACGGTTTGGAAGGGGTGGTTTTCTTCTTCACTTCGGTGTCTCTCGTATTTAAGGAAAAAGCCTTTGATTCTGCTCGTTGACTTGACTGTAACTTCTTTTGCGTCTCGGTGATATTTTCGACAAGCACTTCGATTTTTCGCACGTCGGAATTTTCCGCCGCCTGTTCTCGCTGAGCTTTCATCTTCTTTACGTGCATCTTCCATAAATGAATATATGATTTCAGCTTTCTTCGTAACGAAATGTTCTGGATGTTGGTCCAGATCTCGTTCAAACGGCGTTTATTCCGCGCATTCTCCCGAAGAGCTTCGAAACACGATCTCAAAATATGTAATCGTTGCTCTTCCGATTCGCAATTTGGTTTATCTTTGATAGTCACTTTAATGTTACCGAAAGATGCTACATCGATCTCGCTTGTCGAACATCGCTTGATATCTTTCGACTCGGCAGAAGAGATCGCTTCTTTGATTTTCTTGCGAGTGATTGTGAGTGGTTTTTGTTCAATTATTTTGTTCCTTTTCTTATTAATAACAATTCGCTGTAAATTTTTAGTCTTGTTAATACTTGATTAACATCTCAATATTAATTTAAATATTTAAAAATTTATGATATATTCGCAGACACATTGAAGATAATGATTCATCTTTATACAATTTGTAGCCGAGCTTCACCTTGACTCTGCTGGATGTTTTCCAAAAATTTTCATCATCCGATCTAGCTATATTCTTTCTGCTGCATAGTCCACAAAATTTAGGATGAGACTTTTCTAAGTCTTGTTCAAATTTGCGTAATTCTTTTTCTATAAAAGCTTGTTCTCTTTTCAATTGTAGTTCCTTTGTTTCTTCCTGTATTAATGATCTGTGAATATATTAATGAAATTTGCCTTTACATAATATCTTTATAATAATATAATAATATATAATAATAATAATTTTATGGGTGAATATCGGTAAATAATAAAATTATATGATTCATACTTACATAATTGTATTAATCTAGTATAAAAAAAAAGCGATAAAATAATTTATTCGTGATAATTTATGAGATCATACTTATATAAAAAAAAACATATAAATAAAATTATATTTATAAATTACATTTATAAAGAAAATTTATAGGAATGTACCTTTTAGCTTTCGCTAGGACAGAAGACTTTGCTGAAGAACTGGCTATATCTTCACGAAATATCCTGTGCCTTGTATCCATAATCAGATTCGGATCCAGAAAAGTTTTTCGCTCATCCTCCAGCATCTGACGTTTCTCGGACGGCTGAAGAATCGTTATCCTCATCATCTCGTCCATCAACCTTCTTGCTTCGTCGAACTGCACCATATTTATCAGACCGACACCTGAAACGATTGTCAATAATTGTTCAGTTCGTATCGCAGATTATGCTTGCCTCTTGTTTATGCGTGTTTGTTTCTGTTGTTAGGGAAAGTTTCAGCCCCTCCGAGCTTCAGTTGAATGAGGGTCGCAACCCCCATTCATGAGGTTGAAGACAAGAATGGAAGCGGTAATCGAGAGAGAACTATACGCAAATTTTACGCTATTATTCTCCTTCAATAAATAAACACCTTGAATTTTTTAAATTAGTTTTTTTCTATTAATAATAACATTTGAGCTATTATTATATAAAATCTGGCTTTGAATTTTTTAAGATAAAAATGTTATATTTGTTAAAGAAAACTAATTTTGTAAAGAGTAGCTTTATGATAACTCTAATATTATGTTTTAATTATCGTAAGTTGCATAAATCTTGTTATATCCCTTAGTTTTGTAAACAGGAAAGAATATATTTTTCTTATTTTATTTCGAAGGTCGTAATAAGACAATTCTTACGAATAAGAAATTTTACTTAGAATAGATATTAATCTATGTAACATAAATTTGTGTAATCGTAAAATAATCACGAGCTAATCGATAAACTGGCAAGGTCAAAATTCAAAATTTTCCCGCCGTTCTGACGTTAATCAATCGCGATGCGAGATCGGCATTGTCGACTGTTGACGGGGCCAGTGCGGCTGCAGCAGCAGGTGCATTACGGAGTGAGAGGTGCATCGACTTCGAAGCCTATATGTCGAGGCTGGCGAGTCTTCTCGTGAGTTCAAAATAACGGAGACTCTCCCAACGAACACCTGTTCCTACCTCTCGCGCGATGTCGTCTGCTGCCCTCGTCGTTCTCGGAGCATCGAGGATCGCGCGTCACGGTTAGAGCGATCTAGTGTCATTCTCGCGTTCTGCCAATCTCTCCCACATATTATCTCTCTGTCGCGTGTACGTCTGCACGCTCGGATGTGACTATAACGTAGGCACAGGCGACAAAACGGCTCGGCCCTCGGCTGGTGCGATACGTCAGTGTAAGATGGATCCAAGGGGCCCTCCTGAGGGGGCCCCTGCCGAGTCCTTCGAGATATCCAGCATCGACAGAGGGGCTGATACCTCAGTGAATTGGCCTACGGATCACCCTTTCGCCTCATCCCTGTGCGAACAATCGAAGAAGCTGAACAATAGACTTCTATTCTTGACCGTGAGTAATTCTCATCAATGAACAATGACATAGTTGACAGTATCTTCATCTTCTTGATCTTGATCTTGATTCGATTTCTCTGTTGCCAGGTGGAATATGTGGAGGATCAGTCCCGTCTATTTCCCACATATGAGCAGATCTCCTTTTCCCCAAGGGCAGCCTCCCCTCTGTCCGATTTTGAACATCGAGTCAGCCCATTGGATCCAAATATGAGCTCTGCTGCTAGATACTCTCCTACACCGGTCCAACTACCTTCTTCTCCGTTCCATAACTCTGTTGTTGTACTTCAAGGTCCATCCTCCCCTTTGATGTCTCAGCCAGAGTCAAATATACGGACGAGCATCAATTACGTGACTCAGCTGGCTCATCCAATTGACCCTCAGACTGTACCTCAAACAGATGCTACCACAGATTTTGTTGGCAATGGAAATGAAGATGGATTAGTTTCCAGTGTCAGCAGCGAATTGATTTTAATGCAAGGTATGAAACGCAATTTGTGAAACGAAAATATGTTTGAATAGTTAAGTGATACTTGTGTTATTTTTTTAACGTTATATAATATTCATAGAAACTCCACCTGAGCTGGAACCTTCGACAACTCCGTTGATGCTAGCAGGAATACCAGGCACAGACTTTACTCTGACTAGAGATTTCTTGGTGATGCAGGATGACCAAATAAATGTCATCAACTCGTTTAAAAATCAGAATATGGAGATGGAAGACAATCCAATCACTTTACCATCCATTACAGAAGATGCAAACAAAGAGAACAACAATCTTGTTATGTTAGAATGTGATAAAGAAATTCAACAAATTACTAAAGAACCATTGTCCACTGAGAAGAAGAAAACAATTGAGAAGAAAGATGTAAGGAGATCCAAACGACTTATAACAGATAAAAAAGATTTCTGTAAGTATACTATTATTTATTTTGAACGTACGTTGATAAAAATTTTGTTACTTTATGTTTATAATTTTTTATACATTAATTTGTACATACATTCTTTTTTACAGGGTGCGACGATGAGTATGACAGTAATTGCACCAAAGACGACACTTCTAATTTGACCGATGTATGCGCAATTGCAGATCAACCTGTACCATCACGAGCTGTAGCAACACTGCCAGGATCATATCTTTTATTAAACAAATTATCTACTTCGCATGCTGCAGCAAACAGTATGACTTATGGAATTTTCGCGAAACGAAATATTCGGAAACGTACACAATTTGGGCCCATTGAAGGTGTTCTGTGCACTTACGATGGTTCACCTTTCGAAAATGCTTTGCCGTTGCTTTACGAAACTGAGAATGGAGAGTTTTTGAAAGTAGATGTTTCCAATGAAAGTAAGTAGTCGTTTGTAGTTTTTGTTTTTGCAAGGCTTTGAATTTAAATTCCTGTTGTATCTTCAGACACTTCAAACTGGATGCGTTTTGTGCGACCCGCACTGACGTATAAGGAGCAAAATTTGATCATTTGTCAGCAGAAAGATGGAATAGTATTTCTGACCAATAGAAACATCTCGCCAAAGGAAGAATTAAAGGCAGGTCCAAGTCCAGACTATGCAAATCGCAGAAATTTGCCAATACTTAAACCAGATGTAAAAGATGAAAAAGGTATAAGAGTTATAATACAAATATATTATATTATATTATATTATATTATAATATATTATATTATTATATATAATAATATATATGCTAATCTAATTTCTTGGTTTATTTTGCAGACACAAATCAAATTCCCACATGGCCACGTTTAGATGGTAATTCTTATAATCGACGCGTAAAGATGTTTCGCGATAGAAATATGAAAGAAAAGGAGAACTCACGGCAGAACAAGTGCGACACAGAATGGAAATGTTCCGTATGCAATATGATTTTCAGGAAGCCATCTCTACTTAACTTGCACACAGGCGTTCATTTTTCTAATGATATCAAAGTTGAGAATCAAATATCCACATGTCCGCAGTGTGGATTAGAATTCCAGAAACAAAGCGAATTGGTCAATCATGTGTCTCAACATGGACGATTGGCATTACCTAAAGCAAAGAGATTAACTTCTCTAGGTACATACAAGTGTTCAATGTGTTACAAACGTTTTGCTACGAAAATACGGTTACAACAGCACTGTTTGGCGCATGGTGCTGAGGACCAAAAACCACTGCCATGCAGTATCTGCTTGAAACGATTTATGAATAATTCCGCGTTATCCGGTCATCTGAAAACGCATAAAGGTAACTCTATAAGGAATCAATTGATAAAAGTTATATTGAGTTATTGATAAAAAAAGTTGTATTGAATTATAATACTAACGATTCCGATTTGTAGAAAACAAACAAGTCTTCGAATGTCCGATGTGCAGACAGCTATTTCGCCAAGGTACAATGTTGAAGGATCACGTTGAGACACATAGAAATCAAGATGGTATATTCAGTTGCCCTCACTGCCAGCGAACATTCATCAAGTATTCAGTCATTCGCAAACACATCCGAGGTCATCATTGCGAAAGAAAGCATAAATGTCAGCATTGTGCAAAACGTTTTCCAACCGTCGACAAATTGCGAATGCATCTGTTGAAGCATTCCGATCATAGGTATAACTTTTAATTCAATTTCGTATCAATTATATTAATAAAATTTAATTAACTTTTATACAGAGAATTTCATTGCGCAAATTGCGGTAAACGATTTAAAAGGAAGGATAAACTGAAGGAACATATGACTAAGATGCACGATTCCCAAACAGTTAATGGAGAACAAATGACTCAAAACAACCAGACGAAGAAATTTGTGCCAAAGGTACGTCAAAATAAAAATATGATTGTATGTTATACATTACACAATTATTTCGTCGATAGGTGAATCCAAATGATTACAACCGCTTTATTTACAAATGCCATCAATGTCTGGTGGGTTTCAAGCGAAGGGGAATGTTAGTGAACCATTTGGCGAAGCGGCATCCTGATGTCGCTCCTGAATCTGTGCCAGAATTGAACTTGCCTATCCTGCGACAGACCAGAGACTACTATTGTCAATATTGTGACAAGGTATCGTCATATCGAAATAAATTTACATTTCAGAATAGAAATAGAAAGTTATCATATTTCTTCACGTATCGTACCTTTTAAGGTTTACAAAAGCAGCAGCAAGCGTAAAGCACATATCATGAAGAATCATCCCGGCGCGGCCTTGCCACCTAGCAATCGTCAAAAGGAGTCCGAATTCTCGGGACTGCCCAATCCAAGTTTCAGTCAAACAGTGGGCAGTATCACAACTAGTCCTCAAGGTTGTCAGTGGTGCCATAAACAGTATGCCAGCAAGGTAAGTTTTATCCTAAATGAGATTCGAGTTATATTCATTGACAGAAAATTAGAAAATATATATTCTATTCAAGGCAAAACTCTTGCAACATCAACGCAAGAAACACGCGCATCTGATGGAACCGGCGGATCAAATACCGCGATCGCGAAATCGACCACCGCAAAATCAAAATCAACCACCCGCACTGAACGATAACAACTTTGTGATATCCGATTATATACAAGGATGCGATGGGGATTTCTTGAAGCAGAAAATAATCAAAATAACGAATGACGTTGATTTGATAGGCAACGGAGGTCTGGAAATGATCGGTCAACAGTTTGTGCGTATGCGCGACATACGTTGAGGAAAAGCGTGACATCCTCGACACGGAGGATGAGCGTCGTCAATTTATCGAGATATGAATCTCGCGATCTTTGTACGCAGCTGAGATAGGTTGCGTTTTTTTGCTGCCGTTACCAAATCGAGGCGACGTCGCCTGGACGAAGCGACGTAGCGTATCGCCCGAGAATATTTGGGAATATGCGGCTTTGTCAGCGTCAGTGCGAAACACTGAGCGCTGTTTTGTTGGTTGTACACGTTGGTCGAACGACAACGACGGTTACCGATGATAACTAGTGACTTCGACAAATTTGTTGGAAATGGAGCACGCAGTTTTAAGAAAACTTTGTTCGAGTCTCGAAACGTAAAAGAGAAACGCCTAAAAACGTTAACTGAAAACCAGCGAGACTCGAATCTACTTGCGACGGAGAACATTGTAGTCCCGTACAATTGTTGAGATCTTTTCTTGACGTATTAAGAATACCGTAAAGAGAAAAAGAAAAAAAAGGTAGAGCAAGTCGTGATACTATCGGCACGTCCTTTGCGCTAGACCTGGTAGTTTTACTTTTAAAATCTATACCAAGCTTGAAATCTGATATCATTCGAGTGTGAAGTAGATGGACGAAATTTAAGCAACAAGTTTAAAGCGATGTTTAAAGAAAAATCCGACTTAAATCTGGCGATGAACGAGTTTGCTGCATCTTAGATCAGCGCGACTTTTTCTGTACGATGGTAATTGAACGTGTAATGTTAAAGATCATTATCGCAACGTATTTGACTTCACTTAACGACGAGCGATTGTCCGTAGATTACGTGAAAGCTTACGATCTTTGCAAGAAATCGTCCATTTCACTTTTGCTCTTTCTCTATCTCTCTAATTCCAAATCTAAATGCTTGCGTCCACGTTCTCATTTTAGAATAATGTACAAGTAACATGCGCCCTTAGATCTTCAACGGAACATACTGTTTTCACGTAATCGTTTCGTAATCGCTGGTCTCATCCACATATGAATCTAGTCATCACAGCCGAGAGTTCATTCGAATCGTCGGCTCGAGATGTCCGGTTTAAATTGACGCACGGTACCGTAGTTACGTAGTCAGGAGGACTTTTGCCCTCACGAATTTTACGAACAGCAGGAGTAACGTACGTGTATTTTAAGCTGTGTATTCCTGGCCGCGCGTCACTCGCACATAAGCGCGCGTACACCAAGAGTCTCCGCAAAGATTGTGTCCAAGATTGTGTATTCCGCAAACGTTTGAATTCGGATAATTGTGTCCTCTCGTAATCCGGTCGGTGTATGTCGTAAGTAAAATCCGCACGAACGATTTTCACACTCGGAAAAACTTATCGACGAAACGACGACAACGTTGAATTTATTTTACACGCGGTATATACACGGCATACATTATCGCAATTATGAAGGCAGAAGATTGTATGTTTGTCGATGTCGTTGAGTACATGGAGGACTGTACTGTGTAAACATGACTTAAATAAAGTTATTCGATGAGCGATATGACCTGCATGATATTATTTATTATGTTTAACAGAAATTGCAATATAATGCAAACCGGATATAAAGGAATTGTGAGAGCAAAGTTTAAAAGAATATCACATGATTAATTTCTATATTAATAGTTTTTAGGCATCGGCACACGATATCAACAAATTTAAAAATTGGCCCGCGAGGCGCTGACCTGACATCGTGAAAAAAATATGCTTGATACAAGTATACTATTATATTTTCATAT